AGTCCCGGCTATTTAGAGAGCCTTCACCGCGTTCACAGCAATCTTCAGCTGCTCGAAGGAGCATCGTGGAGCTCACAAGTTCCCCCCCCCCCCCTGTGAACCCGGCGACCCGAGTTGGATTCCCGCTCACGGCCACTAACACCAATAACGATTATCTGAACCGGTTCTGGGACTCCCCTAGGTTTGACTCGGTGTCATATAAGCACCTGGTGCGGTGTGTAAACATCGTCACTGTAGAGACAAAGGCGGTCGGGTCGTCGTACTGGCCAATAATCCCCTCGTGTAACCGTGACGGTCTTCACAGATGCTCGCTAACAGCACTTTCCCCAAAGGTATGTTGAGGCTATAAGGGGCATCTTCGTCTTTGTTTGCGTGCTAGTGTCATCTGCCAATAAGCCTTAGACGCTTCGCGTGACGTAAAAGTGCACCTCGCCTGGCACAAGCACCACCGTCACTTAGTCGAGGCAAGGCCGATGAATCAGAGGCCTTCTATGATCTCGTGCACCAAATGTCGGCTAAAGTGGTCCCTCGGGATAGAGTCGTCATAATATGCGACTCGAATGCCCTATTAGAGACATGACGCCAGCACCTGGGCCCGAGTGATCGGAAGGGATGGGTCAGATCGGCTGATCCGTAACGAGACGAGGCCTGTGGCTGTGCGGCACGTGCGCTGTTCTGGCATCGGCGCATCCGCAACAACATGACGGGTGCACACCGGGTCCAAGCAAGGACATCTGCTGGACTATGCAGTGACGCAACAGCGATTTGGACTTGGCGTGTCATTTGTTGGATGGCGCCTGACATTCTTCCACCGTGGTGCTGATGGTGGGCGTCCACTTAGGAGCCCATTCGAACGCAAGATAAGCTTGCCGTTCAGGACTGTGGCTGTGTGTGGTTCCGAGTTCAGACCTTCCGCGGAAATCCTGGCTATGACCTCCTTTCACATTTGTGAAAAAAGAGGTCTTCATTGCTCATCGGATTCCTCCAGTCTAAATAAATGTATCCATAATAGAGGTTTTTGGGTTAGATGGTGTAAATATATAAATGTGTCGTTAAAACCCGCCACCACCCGACACAGCCAACTAGTAAGGGTTGTCACGTAAACAGAACGTGGCCAATTCGTCACTAGTACAGCACTAACCGGTGTGTTGGAGAGCCAAGCCACAACATTTACAAACAGAGTACGACGTTTCGCCAGTAATTACAACTAGCTTAATCAAGCGACAGCCAGATTTGTGGATAAGTCCAACTGTTTCGTTCCTTATATAGCGGCGTAGATGTGTTGATCACCATTCTGATATTCTGTCTGGCTAGACTGAGAGAAAACAGCAGGTCCATTTTGATTGCCCACGGAATTCCATGTCTGTCTGGCCTCTGTGGAGGAGGCTCGTGAAGGACGCTACCGGGCAGCCCGAGGCAGTCGCCCTCCGACAACAGCGGAGGGCGGAGGCGCGACGCTCACAACAACGAGCGGAGCGCCGGGCGGATAAAACACAGCGAGGTGGCGCAGTGCCAACGGGACTCGAGTCGAGCAGCGACCGGGAAAATATGCGGGGAGAAGCTAAGCCCTGGATTTAGCAGTGGGGGGGGAGGATTTACTGAGTATTCGTCAAAACAGGAGCATTGCCCACGGCTGGATGGAGGGACAGATTGACTGACGGACAGACGGACGTACAAAGGGACAGCCTGACGGACACGGAGATGGTCATAGGGTCAGATAGACTCACTGACAGGCAGAGGGACAGAGGCAGATGGAGATGGACGGAGAGACAGAGACACGGATACGCAGCCAGGATGCAGAGACAGACGAACAGAGAGACAGACTGGTGAGACATCATCTTGTCCCACGTAGGCTCCATTAAACATCGCCACGACGCCCGCGTCCTTGATGCACGCAGCTGAACAAACAGGGCGCGCGGGGATCATGGCGTCCACGGACTCCATCCATCGCGAGTTATTATCCCGCACGGCCATTGTTCGGACACGTGCGTAAGTGCGTGTGTGTGTCTGTCTGTCTGTCTGGGTGTGTGTCTGTCTGTCTGGGTGTGTGTGTTTGTCTGTCTGGGTGTGTGTGTCTTTCTGTCTGGGTGTGTGTCTGCCGAAGCGGTGTGTAAACATCGCCACTGGGGAGACAAAGGCGGCCGCGCGTGGTGCTGGCCACACACCCCGCCCTCGTGCGCCGTGCCGGCCTTCACAGGTGCTCGCTAACAGCACTTGCCCCAACAGTCTGTTGAGGCTATAATGGGAGATCTTTGTCTTTGTATGCCGTGTGTGTGTCTAAGGGGAGCCGTGGCGCAGTGGTTAGCGCACTGCGCTCGGGAACCCAGCAACACGAGTTATATTCCCACTCGCGGCTAATACCGGCAACGACGATTATCTGCCGAACCGTTGCTGGGCCTCCCCTAGATCGACTCGGCCTTAAACATGAGTATGCCTGATACGACGTGTCAAACTTCGCCACGCAGGGGAGACAAAGGCGGCCGGGCCTGGTCCCGTTACGTCCTTCAAAGATGCTGCTCGCCCCCCACAACCTATACGGGGGGGGGGGGTGGAGGAGAGATATCTTTGTGTTTGTATACCGGGGGGCACGATGCTACCTAAACCACCCGCGACACTCCAGCACCGTTCAGAAAGGTGCTCGCTCAAGAGCCCCTTGAACAGCGGTCTCTATTATATACGGGGGGGGGGGGTGGTTGGTGAGGTGGTGGTGGTGGCGTGGGAGGGGGGGGGAGGCATCGTTGCCTTTGTTGTGCGTTCAACTCTCTCAGGTCCGTGTGGCGCGCATCGCTCCGCAGTCGCTGCGAATCACCGCTCCGTCTCAACAAAAGAGGGATGGATCGCGGCAGTAGCGGCAGCAGCAGCAGCAACAACAACAACAGGGCTTCCCATTGTGTCACTTACATCAGCGCATAGGAACGCGGCGACGCATTCATTCTTTAATTAATAAATAAACACTAGAAATGGGGGGGGGCGGGTGGAAGGCGATTTGGAGATGTTCGCGTGATTGTTTGCGGATTATAAGACGCACGAACCACTCACCCGCCCCCGTGTTTTAAAATCTGAGGCTGGGCGTGAAGCCAACGTAGTTTTTTTGTTGTGTTCTGCTCCCGGTGAGCATTGAGACATTGGTGCTCAGACGCCACCGTTTACAGCGGTGGAGATTCCACATTCCCATGGCCGAGGCGAGGCTCTCCAGTGCTTCTCATTTTATCGACCCACCCCACCAGGAGGGATGATGGGTTTCAGTCGACCCCCGTCACCGGGATGGGAATTTACGATCTTCCAATTTGCGAGTTGGAAGCTCCGCCCGCTGTGACAATTCACAGATGGCCGTTGCCCTACAAGGAACGCACGTGTAAATGAAACGACGTTTCGGGCAATAACCCTTCTTCGGAGCAAACGACGAATCGAAGAAGCTACCACGTGTACCGGTCCGTTAAAGGCTACACGCGGGGAACTTTGGGTTTATTTATGTCAGTCAGACGTATAGATTTATATTGGAGGAATCCGATGACCTATTAAGCTTTTTTCACAGAGGTCCAGTATTCACACCGGGCACGAGTGTTGTGATGCGTCTTATAATTCGGCACATACGGTGATACAAACAAAAACGTCACAATACCTCCGCCACTGGTAAACACATCCTACTCACCATGGGTTGTAGCAATGTCGTAACGTGTTGTATATGTTGCCATATATATGCTGTACAATATCGTAGTGTTTTGGTTTAATAACGGATTCACCATCATCCCCGATCATCCATGGAGATGCATTATTTATGTCGATTTGTGTGAGTGTGCAAGCACGTGTGTGTAGAAGCAGGTTTGTGTCTGTGTGTGTACAAGCAGGTGTGTGTGTGTAGAAGCGAGTGCGTGTCTATGATGGGGAGCGGTAGTGTCGTGCTTAGCGCGCTGCGCTGCGAACCCGGCAGGGCTCCAGTTCGATTCCCGCTCACGCCCATCGCAATAATATTTGAACCAGTTCTGGGCCTCCCCTAGGTCGACTCAGCCTTAAAAATTAGTAGCTGGTGGTATGTGTGTGTGAGTGGGTAGCATGTGTGTGTGTAGTACGTGTGTATGAGTGTGTGGTACGCGTGTGTGAGTGTCGTTATATGCGTGCACGTGCAGTATGCATGTATGAGTGTGTTATGCTTATGCTCGCTCCCAGCACTTGCTCCTACAGTCTGTTAAGGTTATACGGGTGATCTTTGTCTTTGTTTGTGTCTCCGTGTGTGTGTGTAGTGGTAGTGTAGCGGTTAGCGAATTGCGCTATGAACCCGGCGACCCGGGTTCGATACCCGCTCACAGCCAACACCGGTGACGATTATCTGAACCGATCCATGGCCTCACGTTGGTCGACTCAGCCTGAAATGAGTACCTGGTGCGATGTGTAAACATCGCCACTAGGGATACAAAGGCGGCCGGGAGTTGTGTTAGCCACCCACCCCCTATTGTGCTTTGCTGGCCTTCATAGGTGCTTGCTAACAGCACTTGCCCAACAGCCTGTTAAGGCTATACAGGGGATCTTTGTATTTTTTGTGTGGGAGTGTGGCATGCGTGCGTGTGTGTGACTATGCGTGTGCTGTGCGTATGCATGTTGAACTTTTTTCGTACCGTACTCAGCCAACCGTGCTAATCAGAGGTTATCTGCGTGTGTGAGTGTGTGCTATGCGTGTGTGTCTATGTGAGTTTGTCTGTGTGTGTGTCTATGTGAGTGTGTGTCTATGTGTGTGTGTGTGTCTGCACGTGGTACGTGTTTGGGAGGCGGTGGTGCAGCGCCACGAATTCGGCAACCCGAGTTCGATTCCCGCTCACAGCCAAACCAGTAACGACTATCTGTTTGGCACGCGTGGTATACGTGTGAGTACGCAATACAGGTGTGGTACCTGTGAGCGCGCGGTACACGCGTGTCACGTGTGAGGATGGGGTAAACACGTGGTACGCCTGAGCACGCGGTAATCGCGTGCGTACTCAGTCGATGTGTCCCGCCTTCTCGCTCACCTCGACAGAGAGAGGGGGGTAGGTGTGGTGGTGGTGGTGGTGGTGGGGGGGGGCTCCTGCCCCCTACATCGCCTCGCGAGCCGCTCCCCGGCACGGCCTCCCCCGCGTGGAAGAGGCGCTGTGAAAGAGAAGGGACGAGTTGACGGCGAGTCGAGATGGCATCCACCCTCCAACTCCACCACTTCGTCATCATCATTTTCTTCATCATCATCAGCAGCATGTATCTGTATCCTCCTACTCCTACCCTCCTCATGCTCTCCGCTTCCTCTTTTCTCCTCCTACTGCTCATCTTCATCACCTCCTCTGCCTCCACCTCTGAAATTCCCTCGTCCCCTCCTCCTCCTCTTCACCTCCTCCTGCCCTCCCGTCTCACCAAGCACCCTCCGAGGTAGTGACCACGACCAACCATTTGTTGCAGTGAACCATCTAGTCTGACCTCAACGTTAGCAACACATCAGCATCATCATTATCATCACCATCACCAAGCCACACGGCAGCTGTACCAGCAGCACCAGCCCCACGTTCAAGGCCACTGCTGGATGATGACAGCCTCCACCACTCCGTGAGACTAAATGAAGAATCATTGAGGCCAAACGGACAAACATAAGTTTGAAGTAGACAGTCAACGCGTTTGGTAACAGCTAACAATGTGTGTGGCTTTGAAGGGGAGGGGAAAAACACAATAGGCGAGGTCCGGGGCAATGGCCCCCTCTGTTTTCCTTTAAAAGCCACACACATTGTTCTTGTCGTAGACACGCAGAGTGGTTTGCGTTATCGTCTGTTGCCGGTGGTTGCTGGTTGCATGCACCGCTGCCAACGCAGCAGCCCCAACGAACAGATCGCCGGCCGATAACAATCCGAGCGGGTGGAGCTCACAGATCCACACGTGCCCACGGGTCGGACACACGAACAAGAAGTAGAGCAGCAGCACCAGCAGCGCTCATCAAGCACCCGCTGATGGATTGCATCGTCCCGTCGACGTTCTACCGCTGACGACGATCGGTGATGATGATGATGTACGCCGGACTTCTTTCGCACCGTACGTCGGCCACCGTGCTAAACAATCATCGATCACGACGACGACGACGATGGTGACCGCCGCGTTTCCGCAACAACGTAAAACAAAATCGGACAAAAGCACGCGAATCTGACTTATAAACAAACGTTTAAAAAACACACAACGACAAAGGTCCTCCCAAGTGCTGTTAGCGAGTAGCGCCTATGAAGGCCGGCACGGCGCACGAGGGGGTAGGTGGCCAGCACCACGCCCGGCCGCCTTTGTCTCCCCAGTGGCCGTGTTTCACACACGCCACAGAGTTAACGCCTATACTGTAATGGCACAGCGATGCACTAAGATGCAATATGTACACCATCGCATGCATAACTAAACACACACATAGATAATACATACACTTGATTAGACACACGCATAGATAATTCATACACTACTATCCACATACACAGAGATAATGCATATCCAACTACTATTCACACACAATATATAGCAAACATGTAGACTATACTTTAAACAAACACATACATAACACACACACCCTACTACACACACAGACAACACACACACACACTACTACGCTACTACACACACACTACTACACTACTACTACACACACACTACTACACTACTACTACACACACACACTACTACACTACTACTACACTACTACTACACACACACTACTACACACACATACACACTACTACACTACTACTACTACACACACACACTACTACACTACTACTACACACACTACTACACTACTACTACACACACACTACTACTACTACACACACTACTACTACTACACACACTGCTACTACTACACACACACTACTACACTACTACTACACACCCTACTACACACACTACTACTACACACACACACTACTACACTACTACTACACACACACACTACTACACTACTACTACACACACACTACTACACTACTACTACACACACACTACTACACACACACTACTACACACACACCGTACTACACTACTACACACGCATCCTACTACACTACTACTACACACACACTACTACACTACTACTACACTACTACTACACACACACACTACTACACTACTACTACACTACTGCTACTACACTACTACTACACACACACTACTACACACACATACACACTACTACACTACTACTACACACACCCCACTACACTACTACTACACACACACTACTACTACACACACACACCCTACTACACTACGACTACACACAGACACTACTACTACACTACTACTACTACACACACACTACACTACTACTACACACCCTACTACACACACTACTACACTACTACTACACACACACACTACTACTACACACTGTACCACACACACTACTACACTACTACTACACACACACACACACTACTACACTACTACTACACATACACTACTACACTACTAATACACACACACCCTACTACACTACTACTACATACACACTACTACACTACTACTACACACACACTACTACACTACTACACACACACTACTACACACGCACACACTACTACACTACTACACACATACACTACTACACTACTCCTACACACACTACACACACTACTACACTACTCCTACACATACACACTACTACACTACTACACACACACACTACTACACCACTACTACACACACACTACTACACTACTACTACACACACACACTACTACACTGCACTACTACTACACACACTACTACACTGCACTACTACTACACACACTACTACACTACTACTACTACACTACTACTACTACTACACACACTACTACACTACTACAACACACACACACACTACTACACTACTACTAATACACACACCACTACACACACACACTACTACACTACTACTACACACACACTACTACTACACACACACACTACTACACTACTACTACTACACACACACTACTACACTACTACTACACACACACACTACTACTACTACACACACTACTACACACACACTACTACACTACTACTACACACACACACACTACTACTACTACACACACTACTACACTACTACACACACACACTACACTACTACTACACACCCTACTACACACACTACTACACTACTACTACACACACTACTACACTACACTACTACTACACACACACAACTACACTACTACACACACACACTACTACACTACTACACACACACACTACTACACTACTACACACAAACACTTCTACTCCTATACACACACACTACTACACTACTACTACACACACACCCTACTACACTACTACACACACACACCCTACTACACTACTACTACACACACACCCTACTACACTACTACACACACACCCTACTACACTACTACTGCACACACACTACTACACTACTACTACACACACACTACTACACTACTACTACACACACACTACTACTACACACACTACTACACTACTAATACCCACACTACTACACTACTACACAAACACCCTACTACACTACTACTACACACACACCCTACTACACTGCTACTACACACACACTACTACACTACTACACACACACCCTACTACACTACTACTACACACACACACACTACTACACTACTACTACACACACACTACTACACTACTACTACACACACACACTACTACACTACTACACACACACCACTACACTACTACTACACACACACTACTACACTACTACTACTACACACACTACTACACACACACACCCTACTACACTACTACTACACACACACACTACTACACTACTACTACTACACAGACACTACTACACTACTACACACACACTACTACACTACTACACACACACCCTACTACACTACTACTACACACACACTACTACACTACTACACACACACACTACTACACTACTACACACACACACTACTACACTACTACACACACACACTTCTACTCCTATACACACACACTACTACACTACTACTACACACACACCCTACTACACTACTACACACACACACCCTACTACACTACTACTACACACACACCCTACTACACTACTACACACACACCCTACTACACTACTACTGCACACACACTACTACACTACTACTACACACACACTACTACACTACTACTACACACACACTACTACTACACACACTACTACACTACTAATACCCACACTACTACACTACTACACAAACACCCTACTACACTACTACTACACACACACCCTACTACACTGCTACTACACACACACTACTACACTACTACACACACACCCTACTACACTACTACTACACACACACACACTACTACACTACTACTACACACACACTACTACACTACTACTACACACACACACTACTACACTACTACACACACACCACTACACTACTACTACACACACACTACTACACTACTACTACACACACTACTACACACACACACCCTACTACACTACTACTACACACACACACTACTACACTACTACTACTACACACACACTACTACACTACTACACACACACTACTACACTACTACACACACACCCTACTACACTACTACTACACACACACTACTACACTACTACTACACACACACTACTACACACACACCTTACTACTACACACACACTACAACACACACACACCCTACTACACCTACACGCACCCACACACGCGGCGCAGCGTTACGCACAGCCGAGATCGTCACCCCGACCAAACAACGCAACGGAGACAGGCGCCGGTGCCTCCGATCAAAAAAAAACCCCAGTGAGATTACAGAGCTCCTGACACAAGCAGATCTAGCAGCGTGGCAGCTGATTAAGAGATTATAGAATCAGAATACTAATGGAGCCCCCACCCCACCCTACAGCCTCCCGGGGGGGTGGTGTGGGAAGGGGGGGGGCACATAGTGTGTGGGATAGGGGGGGGGGGCATAGGGGGTGTGGTATAGAAATGAAGAATGCTGGGGTGGATGGGTTGGGGTGGGGTGTAGCGGGGGACGAGTGAGTGAGTGGGTCGGGAGACGGACAAGAGAGGAGGGAGAGTTCCATACAGTCTCAATTATGATGAGGAGGGAGGAGAGGGAGGGAGGGAGAGAGGAAG